TACAACGTGTGGCCATGGAACGGCAGCTTTCCTTCTGAGCCCGGGGATGGTTGTGTAATAACCACCCTCCAAGTGCAAACCTAGCCCTAGACAAGACTTGCTATAAAAATTTAATCTTGTGAACAGGTATCATGACAAGAAACCATTTGACTTACCCATTTTTAAAGGCCAGGAACTGTGAGGTGTTTTTTTTGTTTGATTTTTTTTTGAGGGAGGTTAGAGCTTGAGAATGTGAGATAAAAGCCCTTTCCTTTTTTGGAACCAAAATAAACATTTAAGGTAACTTTTTCATAATAGTCTTAAGAGGGTTAGCAGTGTTTGAGCAGCACCTGACAATTAGCCTGCATTAAGTATCAAATTTAGAGCTGTCCTAACAGAGATACAATTGTCACACTAGCCCAAGTGCAGGGGCCTCCTTTCAGCTGCTCTTAGCCCTTCTCACCTACCCATTTCTGCAGTCATAATTTGAGGAGAGAGAGAGAGAGAGAGAGAGATAAGATGCAGAACGCATTGTGCATTTGAACAACTGCTTTGGATAAACAGACCAAATGAGCTGTGAGAGGAGTCTGGACTAAGATCAGTTCAAGATGCTCATATTGTCGAGGCATTCCAAAATTACAGAACAAAAACTGCTTTTCCTGGCCTTAACTCAGGAACACGTGTGTATGGAAATTCGTTAAGAGGGAGAAATATATTACTGCTAAACATATAAACAGAAGTGCCTCTGAGGAAAAAATAATTGGGCTAATATTGTTATTCAATTCTGGCAGTAGACCCCCTCCCCAACCACCTGGGTATATCTATACCCTACAGCTGTTTTCTTCCCACTTCTGACTTTGAAGTGGTATGGCCCAGGCTATGGTATTAAAAAAGAAAAAAGAAAAAAAAGAAAGAAAGAAAAAAAAAAACCTTCCTTCTTAGGCCTTGGGATTTTTTTCTATAAATTTAAGAGATCCATTCATGCATTGAACAGCAGACCACACCCTGAAAGTAACTAAAACGTTTGTTTATGAATTTAGGAGGCACCGACTTACTCCTTTCACGACCTAATAGCCTGGAACGCTGGCTGCTCTCACGAGATACGGCCTGAGGAATTTACAGCACTGCAACATTTTCAAGGCCAGTTCTTATGTTTATCTATAACATGAGGGAAAATATCTGTGCCTCTGTATTAACCCAGGGAAGGAATTTACTCCAACAACAAGTCCTGTCACAGGCTTGAAAAATGAAGTATTGAGCAACACAACACAAGCACAAAACCCAAGCCCTCAGAGGTCATGTTCTGTATGTATGTGATTACTGCAGTCCTTGGTTGGCAGCAGCTGCCCATCTGTTCTCTTGCTCATGATCATGTTCTCCCTGTGCTGAAAGCTGAGCCCAGCAGCATTGGCTTCTCTTCCTCAGCAAAGCGCTTTCTGCAGACAGCACTAAGGCTATGTAAGAGCTGGAGCAAGAAAGCAGTCATCTCTATCAGTTTTAGGAAAAATGCTGTTAGAGAAGGTGTATTTTTAAGATCTACAGCCACTACCTGCTTTGAACAGTTGCAGTGCAGGAGGGGAGATATCAGTGCCTTGATAAGCATCTTCCCATGCTGATGAAGGAACCTGATGGACTTGGCCAGATCTATGTACAGAGATAAAGCAAATGGTGTCACCCTGCACACTGTCACACATCCCAGCCTATTTTCTACAAGGCACAGAACCACAGTTGAGGTCAGAGGGGACCCCTCCAGATCGTGCAGTCTTGTCCCTTTTCTCAAAGCAGATTCCCCCAGCCTACACAAACGGCATCCTGGTTTCCATTCTGTGAGCCTCAAAATACATCTTTAAAAACCCAGCTGTAACAGGTGAAGGAGGAAAATACAAAATACCTCATTATGCAGCAGATTTAAACACCCCAGTTTGTGCCATCTGACCTCAGCGAGTTTCATTAATTATGGTTATAGCTAAGCGCAAGGTAATAGGAGAGAGCTCCTGAAAGGGAAAAAAATCCTTATTTTCTTCAGCTTTAGCTCCAACAGGTTTAACTCAGGCACCTTTCTCCCCCCATAAGCCTTGCTTATAAGCAGTAGATCTTAACTGGGGCCCTGTGATGCCAGCAATACTAATTTACAAGTAGATTCGTTCCAACAATAACCTGAGGGGGGAAAAAAACAGGCCTAGAACAACTGACTAAAGCAAACTTGACAAGTTATCACACACGTCCAGATTTGATACCAAATTTCCATACTTGGAGAAACAGGAGAGAATGAGTTGTTTGGCAATAACTGCTGAAGTTCCTCCCCGTTCTCCAACTCCTCCGTTCAAACCTGCCCATGGATCAAGACAGATGCCAAGTTCTGTCTGGAAAAATGCAGCTGAACTGCAGATGCAACACAATGAAGACACAGGCACCAGTTTTTTTCCCACCCAGCTGCAGGTTCGCAGCTTTTTAGCTCAGGGTTTTGCTCTGCTCCTTTTCTAGAAGGCACCTGGAAAGCTGAGGGTTTTAAATAAAAGCAGTTTTTATCTTCTCACGCCCATGCACAGACTGAATTGAAGACTCACAATTTTTTTGTGAACAAAAGGTCTGTTAATTAATAGAAATTTCTATATATACTATATACAGAATATACACTATATACAGAATATCCTCAGCCAATTTAACACTACTTGGTGATTTACTCAAAATGCAGCCATAAAATAGCAGCCTTGACCTGGTGAAGGACCAAGTAGTCAGGGGCCCAAAGACAACATTTCAGTTAACTATTTTCATTAACTATTAAAAGTTTGTGAAAAAAAAAACAGCTAACATGTCTTCACAGGAACAGAAAGCACCGCTTTTATCTTAAGTGGAATTAGTCAACTTGAAAAATGAGGCCTAACAACACACAAGTCAAATAATGTATTGGGAGGAGCATGCGGCACATTAACCCCATAGTTTAGCATTCCTGAAGTCTCTTTTGTCTACGTTAGACTTTTCAAGTGCTTTGAAATTTGTTAATTGATGCATTCAAACTTCACAGACTTCATTCACTCCTTAGTTTGGACCAAGTTTTAGAAGCAATCCCTTCAGATTAGCTTCAAAGCTACTGTCAGAAAGCACCTCCAGGAGTTGATAAGTGACCTTGCTTTTTGTTGTGCCTGTGATTTTGATCAGACTCCAGCCTCCACTCCCAGGAGTGGCATTCGCCACAGATGGGGACTTAACTACACTTGGCTACAACTTGCAAAAACGCTAGCTGTCAAACACAACGGAGCAAATGTAGCTCTGCAGAGACACTCTTATTAATACTCAGATTCAGCTTAAAAAAGCGTAATTGATAGAATATACTTCAAACACAGCATTTATTACAAAGGTGCATAGAGTTTATGCCATTTCTTTTGAATACTTAAGCTTTGAACTACAAACAACATACAAAGCTAGGTTATAGTATGTAATAGAGTCAACATAGGTTATCTGGTAAATTCAGTACAACAGAATATTCTATGGTACTTAATTTCCCAATACATTTCTGAAACAAAGGCACTTACATAATTAAAAAATAAAAAAGAAGAATTTAAAAGAACATACACTCTTTTAACATTTGAAATCTGACTTCCACTCCCCTGCCCCTCTGGCACTGGGGGTAACTGGTTTGAAATGAAGGAATTAGCTCTTTGGAAAGGACACACAGTAATGATTAAACTAAAACATCACGGACTAACTTCTCTTCTGTAACCAGCACATTCACTTAAGTACATGAAAACAGGTTTCAGTGGCTTTGCAAGGGAATAACTGAACAAAATTTGGTCCCGTGTCTTTTTTTTTGATGATGGTTAATATACTAACAGTAAGAAAAGATCTGGCTAAGTGCTGTAATTAAGAAGTGAGGAAAATGGACTGTTTTCTTTCAATCAATTTTGTAACTGTAGTAGCAAATACATTCTTTGTGTATTAATGATTCAACTCTTTACTTGAATATCACTATCAGTATCATATACTCATTGAAGATAAGGTGTAAATGAACAGGGTCCTTAACCCTACCTCTCTTTCAGGATACCACATCTCCTCCCACCTCTCCTAGATCACTCTGAACATCTCTGCATACTATCTGGTCTCTACTATATCTACCCTAAAACTTCAGATTTGGGGCTTCTGTTGTTGCTACTACTTTACTTTCCTATTCACTGCAGTTATGTGCTTTTTACTTAGGGATAACAGATGGCAGATGATAGAGCCAACTCCTCCCACAGCTGCAGACTTTCCCTTAATAGACAAATCACAAACCTACTGACACCACCACGAGCTGCCTGGTTTGTCACCTGAGATGCTGGAAGAGCCACAGAGTAACCTCATGAACAGAGTCACTGGAAAATCGTACCTGTGCCCCAGAACTGCCGGCACCTCTGCTCACCAGCCAGATTCATCCTAGGCACTGGCAAGCAAAGCTCTTTGCCTCCTTCTGTGAACACACAGTGGTAGGATCTACATAAAAGATGACTTCTGCACTACTTTAGTGACTTCCTACACAAATATTCAGGTTTTCTAAGAAAATGCTTGAGCAGCTGACACTGGCCATCTTTGGTTGTTGCATTCTTGCGTTGTGAGTGTCTCTTGGCACTATTTTGTGCTGTTAACTTAAACTCTGCTCAGAGAGGTATAAAAGAGGTGCATAGGTTGTCATGAATCACAATGCTAACAATGCTAAAACATGATACATTTTTTTTTCTGAAATGCCCTAAGATTTTCTTAAACAAAAAATGGAATAACTTAGAAAAGGACTCACTAACTGGGAAGAGAAATAAATAAGTCTGCCTTGGGCAGCAGCAGTGTCCGTCCAACATTCTGCATTGGTGTATGAGGTAAAACAATACTATCAGTTACCAGATCACTGATTTTTAAGCAGTAATATGTGCCAAATGTGGAATCCTACGACAGCCTCTCAGCAAGTAATATCTGTATATGAGATGTGTCAAAATCATGCCACAAATTATGTCACAGCGATTGATACAATGGTCAACAGAAAGCTCTTTAGGGAATAACAATTTGTATTTCAACGTCAGAAAAGGTGAAATTTTAGAACATACTAAAAAAGACAGGAGTTGCTTGATAACTACCAAGTTGTACAGAAGCCAAAAGCCTTGCAAATATTGGTAATAGTCAAGAAAGTGCCTTAAGATGTTTTCATGACAGCGAGCATGATGTTGGAAATGCACTGTGACTCTGTGACCAAATCCTTCTACCCCTCTTTAACCTGACTTCTGGTTCTCTTTTCAGGGTAATGGGAATGTCGAAGACAGAAGAGAGCTTTGGTCTCTACTGCATATCAGGTCGGTACTTCTTATGCCCCTCCAAAATTATTTCTCAAGCAGAGGCTTAGTTTATAAAGATCCCTACAAGGTTCCTGCTATGCACAGTGACAAATCCTAAAAGTTTAAAAAACTATTTGTGACTTTGCATACCTCCTATAAAGTCAATTACTTCCCTTATGATGGGCCAGGACGGAATACTGGCAGTCACTTCCACTCCACACATACGATTAAGGTGGTGATTTGTTTTTTCTAGCTACTCTATAATACAGAACTATAACACAAACCAAGGACTTATCCATTAATTTTGTGCAGAATAATTCTGTTTTCAACTTCTGATCTATTTCTTATAGTGAATGGCAGAGGGTTTGTTGCTGTTACTGATTTCTAGCTATGAATTAAAATAGCCTGAGAAGCTGTAACGATGAAGTTACAGCTGTTAAGCCTTAAAATAGGAAAAGAAAACAAGGAAATAACCAAACCATGCTATTTAGCATAAAAAAATGCAACTAGCACAAAGACAATTAAACATAGTTTACTACCCCTTACAGAATGCAAATATTTTTCAAAAAAGAAAAAAATCCCTTTTAAACCATAAATGAAGTGTCTTACAATGCAGCCTACATAGCGATAGTAACTTCAAAACAGGTAGAACATATATCATCGAGTTTCAAAGAGATTAAGTTCTTACTTTCTAGCACTGTGCAAAATATTGCTACAGCTTTGGGTGTTTGGAAATGCTCATTCTAAATCATTTCTTTCCATCCCACTTCAAAATTATTGCACAGCAAACTACAAATGCTATGACCATTCGTATTTCTGAAATACTCTTTCATACTTTTCTTGCTGTAGTTTGAACAAAATCTCTTTTTGTATTTGCTTGAGGTATAAGTGAATTATTTCTGCAAGAAATAAAAAGATACTGAATTAACTTTCACTTTACTTGAACAAAATAGTTTTCTTCCAGGAAAATATACTACGTGGTGTAAACAGCACAAATTGTATTTTTAAAGAGTTTTGTATGCAGAAGTATAGTAGCAGATCTGTTCAGTAGATGGGCTTCTGAGGATCCACATAAGCAGGGTTGTAAGGGGGCTGGCTGACTGGGTAAGGTGCTCCTGCACCACCTGCAGAAGCAAAACACAAGAAAAGACAGATTTACAAAACTCACATTCTGAATTCTGCATTTGTAACAACAATTTCAGTTCTTAGTGTGTGCTTGAAAAGTTCAACTTATCCAGGATCTTAACTGGGAGAAAATGTGGTGCAATTCATAAAGCATTTGTAGTTCACAAGTCAGATAACAAAGTTTTTTGGTGTTTTTTTGAGTATATACATGTATCGGTGTACCCACAAGCATATGGTGAGCCTTCAGAGCAGGATATTGTTTGGAGAGAAAAAAAAAAAAAGGGAGAAAGAAAAAAAATAAGGCAATTTGGTCCAGTATGCCAGCTAGTAGAAATCAGTGATGCCAATACAACAGGACATACCTGACATACCTGCTAGTATGTGGAAAAGTTAGAATGAATCACTGAACCAAAAAAAAAGGACGAGAAAAAGTGTCTCCTAGTAAACATCACTAAATTATTTTTTTTAAAAAAAGGGCCACCAAGCCCCTAAAACACTGCAATATACATGCTTGCTGTACCAAACTGCACCCTGCTTTTTTAGTGTTGTGCAGCAAGCTGTTGTCAAGCGTCAAGCAATACCGCAGCACACACTCCCCACAGCGTGCGGAGGGCTTTTCTTTCCCTGATCTGGTCAGAGTTGGCCCCTGCATCACAGGGCCGCTGTTCTCTCTGCTGCTCGTGACCCAATTAAGAGATTGTCCGCTGGCTAATAGTCAAGGGAAATGAGGAATTGAAAAGTTCCTATTTTCAGGTGTTTGCAGGTAGGAACATGGGAAGCGCTGCATGATTTTCCCAAAAAAAGCAAAATGAAACAAAAAATTCTAAGATTTAACAAGCTAGCAACTTAGCTGAGGAACAGCTGGAGGAAACAGGGAGCAGGGGAAACAAAACGACTGGTTCACTGGCTCTCTCATGTTAGAAAGAAGATGACAAAGCAACTGGGGATTATCCCATAAAAGCTACTGCTTCTGCAGGGTTTATCAAGGAAACTAAAGTCAGCATGCCTGTAAAGCCAGGGGGAAGCAAAATGTTTTTAGAAGATGAGATGGTTTGCATATTTTCAAGTGTAATTTTTAATTTTTACTTCTTAAAAGTCTTTCTTAAGACTATAAAGAATCATTTTATGTTCTTGCTTGTTATGAAAGAGTTATTTTCTAAGGGCAGTGTCTACTATTCAGGAGTATACTTTGCTTGTTAGGTAGAAGGATGTAGCAGAACTGTGTAGCAGAAGCAGGTTTTAAGATCCAAGGCTAGATCAGCCTGGTTTGGGCCTCTCTAAACAGCCAAGAGTCGACAGCTCAACCAGCTATTTTCAGCACCACAGGGAATCACTAACGTCAGTGGTAAAGCTATGTGAAACTGGGAAAGCAATGCTGTGAAAGGAGAGGAGAATTTTTTTATTATTTCTATAAATAATTCCATAATTTCTAGTTACTGCTAACTGCCAGTCATCAACAGACCTGCATGAAGCTCACCAGGAACTGGACAGTCTTATCAGCCCAGTGACTAGCACACATCATTTCCATGCTTGGATTTAAACTTAGTAAATATTTTATTAGGAGGTCAATACAGAAACAACCTTAATCTACATATATATATATATACAGATATGTATGTTAACTGGACTTTGATTCTAATAAGAAATTGCAGCTGAACTAGTAAGGCGTCCTACTGGATCCACTCACACATCACAGCTAAATCTCCGCTTGTTGTGATTACTGTAGAAACAGCAATGGAGAAATTTCAAAAGGGAAAAACTTTCCATAACTTGCTTCCGTTAATAATGGAAAATAATAATGATAAAAAATAGATGATTTGCTTTAATGAAAGTGTCCTTTATCTCTTTAGGGGGGAACGCTGCACTGCTTCCTTACCTGCCACGGTCTCATGGTAAGCGGGAGGCCCGGACGGCTGTGCAGGGTAGGGGGGAGGATACTGCGTGGGGTACGGCGCGACCAGCACGCCGCCGTGGGGCTGCACGGCCACGGGCTGGTAGCCCTGGTACGGCGCTGCGGGGTAGCTCGCCGGCACCGCTGCTTGCTGGGGATAGGGCGCGTGGACCACCGTGGTGGCAGTGGTGGTAGTCACAACAGCTACAAGCAACCAAGGGAACATGGTTAGTGCTGGTGGGCCTTGGAAACGGACAACAGCAGCAGTGTAAAACCACCCTCCCCCAGCCCAAATCCTTGGCAACCCTAGTTTTGAACTTCCATGAGAGATTTAGGAATCCATACGTCAGGTTACCCTTCCACTGATGTTCATAGCAACAGAGCTTTCACATACCTGGACGGCAGCCAGTTTATCTCCTTGTTCCTCAACCACAAAGAGTTTTTTCTTGGCTCTTCACCAAGCAGGAGGAATTCCTTTCTGCAGCCAAATTATCTATTGTTCTAGGACAAACTGCTCATTTCTAAAGACATTATCTATTTTTAAGGATAGTTTGTGCTATATCCGTCTATCTTCCTATTGTGACCCACTGCCCAAATGAGTTTCCTTAAGTATGATATTTGTGTGTTAGCATAGCTATGTGTTAGTGTATCTTTTGCTAAACAATAGCCAGAAAAGTAAACACTCATAAGTAATCCATTTTTGCAGGAGCTAATGTTGAATTATTGGTTCATGTCTCTGTTGAACTAAGGGAGCATTAGTGCTTTCTAATAAACTGCAGTAATTTGTTTTCCAGATCTCCTTCCTTGTTATGCTACAGCTATGCGTATTTCTCAAGATTCCGCTTTTAAAGAATAGGGAATGACAAAACCAGTCTTTTACTTTACTTTCATTTAAATCTTGTTATAAACATGCATCCATTTCTGTGACTGTATCCAGGCTAAACTCAGCTAACATTTGAACTAGTCTTAATAACATTTTAATCAAGCCATAAGAGTTTTAATTAGTGTTTCCCTTTAAAATAACCAGTTTTAAAAGCTGATATCAGAGGTACTCATACCACATTCGATTATAGAATTTTAAACAGCATAAGTTTTGTCCATATACATCAGTATTTCAACTTTTAATATAATTTGAATTATTAACGATTTAGAATAAGGAGGATCATTAAAATATACTTCAAATGAGGAGGGAGGAGAACTTTTTACATTCTTAAAAACACAGCATCTCTCTGCAACTTCACATTTTGAAGCAGCCTAAACGCTTATCTCTAAGCATTTGTTTAGGTACTGGAACCTCTGCCTCAGAGGGGTAGGAAAACATTATTTGCATCTTTTTCAGGATCACAGTTTTCTAGGAAAAAAAAGGTGTTACTGGAAGAGGTAAAGGATAAGAAAGTAAATATAAATACAGAGGTACTCACGCCGCGGTCTTCGACATGCTTTGTACAAACAGCAACAGGAGCAGGTGAGGCACAGGATAATAGTGATCACAACCACAGCAAAGAGGGCAATCCCAATCCCAATAAGGGTTCCAAAACTGCAAGACAGACAGCACCAGAGGTAACTAAAGTCTCTCATGCAAACTTATTGCTACTTAGCCAGCATTTGTTAGCAAACACATCACTCTTCCTCCAGTCTGTTATTCTTACTACGTCATGCACCTGAATAGGAAGCAATTTCCAAGTGCATCCCTACATTAAACTCTGCAAAATGGGTGGAAGCAGATCAACACCTACAAAGGAGCACTCTCCTTCATCCCTGAAGAGGACTTCATATGGCTCTTTAATCCTTTTATTTTAGCACGGTGCATCTCTTTATGTATTTCAATAGTTTACACAGATAAAGTATTAAGCTCAACCCCCAGGGAAAACCACAGGATTGAGCAGATCTCTCCACGCTGCAGATTTCTTGGCATTTATAAATGATTGTTTTGGAAGCCATATTTCGCATGCTTTGAAAAAAAAGTGAATTTCAGCCAACTTTACAGCAGTGAAGGAGCACGTGGCACTAGGTTGGAGAAGACAAAGCACCACCTCCCAGCACCAGCATCCAGAGCAGAAACACCAGAGACTGCAATAGCCTTAAACTCTGTGATGAGAACCAAATGAGGGAAGCAGATGTAAAACTTCCATAGACCCCTGCTTGTAACTTCTCTTTACCACAGAGGAAAAGAAAAGCAACTGTAAAGCTTAAACGCTCGGTGACAATCTCTTTGTCATAGGAAAGATCATGTCTTTTCTGAAAGGTCCCTTTCTGAAAGGTCAGCAGATAGACAATTTCATGTCTTTTCCAAATCGTTTGGACAAAGCACTGGAATCCAAGGCCCTTTGAAGTGTTAATTATATTTACTTCAAGCATTAAGTGATTTGCCTGAAATCCAGAGCAGCTCTTCTTCCAGGCGAACCAGTCTTTGGCATTTTTGCTTATTAATTTCATGCATCAGTTTTGGAAACAATCACGGGAAGTAAGTCTTAATGAAAAACAAGCCCTAAAATAATCAGTGGAGAGCTGTTTTTACATTCATCCTGTTTTTGCTTCTTCAGAGAGATTTTGGCTACAGAACTTTCTGGTTTTCTTCCTGCTCAGTTTCCTCTTACCAGCTTTAAACAAAATGACACAAGTCTAAACCCCCAGCAGTTTTATACTTGGCTATCAAATGTAAGAATTATTTCTGAGCATCAACGGCCCTGGAAGGTTTGGTGACTGACTTAAAAAAAGAAAAGAAAAGCTGCACCAGGAGGAGAGGTAACAGGCACAAGGCATAGGTCGGAGGAGAAAAGCACTGGTCAAAGTGAAAATGAAAGTGCCAAACCCACTACAAGAGATATAAACGTAAAAGACTGCCAAGGCAAAAGCACTGTCATGTAAAGGCTTTTCTACAGCTTCTTCAGTGCCTCCCTCTTCGTCCTGAGCATCAGCATCCCTTCAGCACAGCCATCCCATTTCAGGACGAAATGGAGAAAAGTCTACATATTATAAACAAACTAACACTGCAGGAAACTGGCAGAGCCCTTATCAATCCGGACCAAATTTGGTTCTTCCCTGTGCCATGCCAGGAAAGAGGCAGCCCAGATGCATCTGCAGCTCAGCTGGCCACCAGCAGATAAAACTCTCGCTGCTCAGCTTGAAGCAGGGGCTCCATTTGTTTACTTTTAATGGTTTTCACTTCCTCTTGAAGTTTTCTCATCTTTGAAGCACATCTCTCATTGCTTTTCAATAACTATATTAAGAAAAGTGACAATAGTAAAACTTAGGAAAGAGGGAAAAAAAAAATCACCATATTATTGGCTGCATCTGTGTTAGAACAACATGACTATGGCTTGATTCAATTCTGCAGAGCTAAATGGAAATATATATTTAAAGGACAGGTGTGTCAAGTCTCTATATATATGCTGTAGAATGAGGTCCTGTGTTTTTGTGTGTGAACGCTGTGATTCAATTCTGTACACCAAAATCCTGTGTGAAGGCTACTGACCAAAATTATAAGTCCTGAAAAACAAAACACTGGGTAAAACAGCAGATGTGTGAGCTTTAACCACAGTTTTCTAAGGAGAATACACACAGACTACTGCAGGCATTTTTACCATCCACTTTACACCAGAAGGCAACATGACATTTGGAGAAAACAGCAGCGTGCGCTCCGACCTTGCAGCCCCTCACGACAACTCCCTCTCTCAACACTGATGCTCTTCAAAAAAAGTTGTTTTCTAATGATTTTCCTTGCTAGTTTTGAGAACTGTTTAGAATTATCTGCCTCTTCAGGCACTCCTGTACTGTATTAATAACATCTATCCTTTTGCTGCTCAATGATTACTGCCATGAGCACTTTTTCCGAGCATTAGTGATTTTACCCCCCCCAGAAGTTTGCTAGTAACGATGCTGAGGAAAGGGCAGGAAGACAACTAGCAACAGAAGACAGTACTTAAGTGAGGCCTGGCTACAAGAACAGTGTTGGACAGACTTCTCCAACTCGGTGAGTCACTTGGATATAGTCTTGTACAAATAGTCTATACTCCTTTCCTGCTTGAGACTGCTTCCTCATTTAGCTGCTTTCACTTAGTGAATTTACCTGAAAAGACTCTGAAAAAATATATATATTCACAATTTATAGTATTTTAATTAACCTGCATCATACAGAGAAAAAAAA